AAGGCGCTATACAAGTGCAGGTCCATTTACCATTTACAGTGAGAGACAATAAACATTAGGTCATTACTCTGTATACTGTATGTATGATCTACATTATAATATTACACTTATCATTACACATCAGAGCCCTTGTTTCAATGTATATATTGAAATTGCAGAGGTGCACAGATGGTGCATGAGATGTAGTCATGATCATGTAGTATTTATGTAGTAGTCCAGTGTATAGCTGGGATATTAATACTGAATGTGAATAATGGTTTATTACAGAATGCACTGGAACCAAGGTGGCACTGAGGATTAGTTTTTCTAAACGAAAAGCGTAATATAGACCGTGGAGAGAAAATCTGAATAAAAGGCACAGACATTTAAAGCAGTTTTCTGAATTAGAGTCAGCCATTAAGGCCCTCTCTGGGGAATGTTGCCTCTAAAGAAATTGTGCCTTGTATTCAGGCTTCCGTGCCTGAACTAAACTCTCCAACAGCTAGTTTCACTGATGAGTTCCTCAAGTGGTTGAGTTTGTGATAAATGTAAACCTGCAGAATATTCCATGGAAAAGGGCTGGTTAGCACTGGCTAAGATTACAATGAAACTGGAGGCAGGACAACAGCTAGTGTGTAAAAAAATTTTGTGTTTTCTATTTTGAGATTTAACAGACAGTTAAAGGTAATAGCAGCCATATTTCTAGGTACTCTAACACTGGGCTTTTTTCCCTGAAAGCTATTTGACACATCACAACAAGAAAAGAAGAAGTGTAAATAATAAAGGTAATAATGGCTGAATTCCACTGATTCCCTTCAGTCTCAGAGTCCTGGTGTTGTTCATGCTGGTTCACTGTCACACTGTCATGGCTTACTGGGAACACAGCCATTGTTAACGTTAATAGCAACACCTGTGCTTTTCCTGCTCTCTCAAGTCTGCATTTAAGCCCTGCTAAAAAGAACTATACCTGGTCTAATGTTTGATATAAATTAAATGTATGTATGTTCACTAACTTTCAGATCACAGCTTGTTTACATTCAAAAACACACTCAGCCACAAACACAGTGTTTGTCACAGCTGGTTGCTGTTGAAAATGATAGACTGCTTAACTATCTCTCTGTGGCCTTCTGCTCCCTCTGTGAGCCTTTGTGCTTGTCTCTATGTAGGTTGGATGGTTGGTGGGTGTTCATCTATTTGATATGTGTGTCTGGTGCGCCGCATAATGACAATATCACTGATTGCAAAGTGCCTTGGTTTAAGTCTGCACACATGCTGTGTCTGAGTTTGTGTGTGTGAATGTCTGTGTGTGTTTGTGCTGCTTGTATGTCCAAGCAGTTGTCCCAGATTTATTCACTGGCACAAGTTTCTACTTGCTACTTGGCTCATGTTCATCCTGTGTGATTATGCGTCTCTGTGTGTGTTGTGTGTGCGACATGTGAAGAGTTTGCTCTCAGCGAGAGCATCCAGGGACTTATCTGAAGAGCCCCTGCTGCTGATACATTCAGCTGTTTAACTTAGTCTGTGTGTGTGAGACAGAGAGGCAGACCACACTTGGCATTTGCTAAAATGCAACACTGTGCTAATGATCTGTCTGTCTTTCTATATTCAGCATCTCCCACTGTCCACAACACACAGCTACACTGTTCATTTATATAGCCAGGAGGAGATTTTCTCAGAAGAAATGATGCACCCTGGTTTGGACAATATTTGGCAAGTCAGCCTTAGTCCATGTAATCCTTCTGCCTAATCTGTTACTGGAGACATTTCAGATTTAAGATTTCTGCGGGTATTGCTTCAGCATTGTCAACAGTAAATTTTTAGAAAAGAACTGAATAAAAAGTACCTGCCCACAACTCTTATTTTCAGTAAAATTGCAAAAAATATTGAGCCACTGGAAAGAAGAAATGACTGGTCTCTCTCTGTCTCTCTCTGTATTGCAGTGTCTCTCTCCCACACACAATATCTACACATTACAGATACAAATTCAATAGCTGTCTTTTTACTTTTACTGTATTGTACATGAAAGATTTAATTTCTACTGGAGGAGGGAATTTAACTGACCTCTGTGACTGATAATTTTAGGCAAGCAGTGTATTTACCCTCCCTAAGTCCCACCCCTTTTTGCCCTATGCTCCAATAACAGTTGAGCAAGCCTCAGTCAGAACCTCAGATATGATATAGTCACGTCTTAAGTTAAGCTAATGTTAGCTAGCAAGCGATTGATGTAGAATGGCCTGGTAGTTAATAGCACTTTGCTAACACTACTACAGGAGAAGAAAAGGTTTACTGAGGTCCTGAAAATGAATTGAGCCAACTCCTCCATTTCTGTTGGGACAATGTGGACCTTTAAATAGGAACTTGTTCATTTGGTCTGATTGACCCAGACCTTTAATGTGACAGGTCACTTCCTGTGACTGTAATCTGATACGACTTGATAAGGCGCACTGTCCAGGTGATATAAACTCTTTTCCGTTCTTCTCGCTCGTAGCACCTACTTTAACTTAAAAGTTAGTTTGTGGATTAAAAATCATCTAAAAGACCCTGGATCAGATGTCATTATCAAGATAATAAAACCAGATACAGATGGCACAGGTGTAAATGGGGTTCAAGGCATCGCCCCCCATGTGTGATGTCAGCTTTGATTCTCCAATTTTATCATTCCCACATTTTAATCTAACAAAGCAAGAATTTATCCAAACTAATTTAATTTCTACTTATTTTGACACAAAGGTTTATCTTCTACAAGATGGAATAAACTGAAGCATGAGAACAATAAGCGGATTAGTGAAGCATGAGAAGTGTTGCAGGCGTTTTTTAACAGACTGCTGTGTAGACGCAGCTGAAACTCTGGATTTACCAATAGATAACCTCACCTTTGGTCATGAGCTCTGACGAGACTGAAAGAAAGACTTTGTGACCCAGACTGAGTTTCCTTAGGGGTGGGGTGAGGAGCCAAGCAATTTGGAAGTCCTTCACATTGAAATGAGCCGACATCATTTGGGCCTCTGATAGGGAAGCC